AGGATAGGATAGGATAGGATAGGATAGGATAGGATAGGATAGGATAGAAAGCTAATGTCAGCAGAGTTATAAACGATGCACAGACTTATCAGCTTTTTAAGTATTATGTGTTAATTTTTTAATCCTGGGAGAGTAAGACATGTTTAGAGGAAACAAATAATACACTAGTGTATAACAGTAATGTTATCAATATTGTTTTCAGTAGTTATTTCTATAATGAATAATTGTCCACATTCTCTTCTCACAAAAAGCCTAATTTCAATTCAGCTGAAATAATCAGGAGTTGGCATCAGTACCAGGTGAAATGAAACATGATGCAGAAAATTTTAGCATGAACATCATTGCTAAGTAAGTGTTCATGTATTGGTCAGAAGCAAAGACAACCAGCCAAAAGCCATCCAGTGAGAAACAGTTCTGAAAAATCTCTAAGAACATTGGAGGGAGATTTCTGTAAATAACCCATTTTTATAGGTTTTTGACTGAGCTATTTTAATAAGTGAATTCATTCAATTTTTCATATTTAATTTACGTCTTATTCTCAAAATTTTCCACAGCAAACCTCTGAATTGGGTCTAAATATAGCATAATCCATTTTGAGGACCATGAAACCAGCACAGCAGTTTACATTTCTCTTGCCTAAAATTTAGCATTGTTAAAGCAAACTATACCTTCAGCTAAAACATTTAATTCAATTTTTATAGGTTTTTGACTGAGCTATTTTAATAAGTGAATTCATTCAATTTTTCATATTTAGTTTACGTCTTATTCTCAAAATTTTCCACAGCAAACCTCTGAATTGGGTCTAAATATAGCATAATCCATTTTGAGGACCATGAAACCAGCACAGCAGTTTACATCTCTCTTGCCTAAGATTTAGCATTGTTAAAGCAAACTATACCTTCAGCTAAAACATTTAACAGTGATAGAATAATAGCATCACCAAGGTTGGGAAAGACCTCCAAGATCATTCAGTCCAACCATTCACTTACCACCAATGCCTCCCCAGTAAAACATGCCTCTTAATACAACACCTAGAAGTTTCTTGAACACCTCTGGGAATGGTGACTCAACCACATCCATCCTCCAGGCAGATGAGCACTGCCTGCCAACTTGGTGTCATCTCCAAACTTACCGAGGGTGAACTTTAATTCATTTTTTGACCTTACCTTTGCTGCTAGTACACTGACAAATGGATTTGCTCTTTCCCAGGTGTTGTGCACACAGCGGTTACAAATGAATATGCATTTCATGATCCATTTTTAAGAGAAATTCTAGCAGATCTAGTGGTTGGCAACTGAGTCCACGGAGGTTACAAATGAATGGTCCCTTCCAACCTATGCCAGTCTATAATTCTGTGTGTTTCTTTAAATCATACAATCACATGTGTTACTTCTAATACATTTTATTTTCCCTGTGCACAAGAAGATGCCAAAATGTTGTTCTTAAAAACTTTTTATCTCCTTTGGAAAAAAAGTTTTGAGTTTAAAATCCTAATTATGCCGTTAAATGCATGCCTGTAATACCAAGTCACTTTGGACTGAGGATAGCATAAATATGCCTTAAAAATTATGATGCAACTCTTTTCTTCTATTTATGGTAGCTGTCTACTGAACCCAATGGAAGTTGATATCACTTTCAGATAAATGTTATTTTTTTAGGGGGGAACGTGAAACTGTAAAATCCCAAAGTAAAGCTCAAATAATGACCTTGCTTGTCAGGAAGGAGGTTTTCACTACAACCCTGCAAATACAAGTATTAATTTTTCTTCTTTTTTCATGTCCCAAAGAACATGGACATACTGAAACATACTAGAGCATGTATGCATGTGGACAGAAAATGCTCATTCACAAGGACTCTTTCCCTTCTTAGAAATAGGAATCTGGAACTTTGGGCCAAGATCACAGGGGCAAATAGAAAACATAACAGCATACTACTGGACAGAAGACCCACACTATTCTTACGAGGCACTTGCTACTTCCAGGCTGAATTGGAAGCACTTTTCCTGGAAATCTCTGCACTAATATAGGTGATACGTACTGATGATTCGTTACACAGCCCAGTGCTCGGAAATCTGCTGCTGCTTTCAGAAGAGATAACAGTCATTTACAAATTAGGCAAATAAACAAAAGGAACCCCGTAAAAATGTCTGAAAACCGTACTTTTTGGTAATAAGGAATATCTTGTTTTAAACATACGAGTTCTCAGTGTTATTTCTCAAGGCAGTATCAGGTTTTCAGATGGTCCGGGGTGTGTTTGCCTCGTGTTCTGCCAGCGCATTTTTCACCATCGTGTTGAGGCTGCTGCTTCTGCCCCCAAGTGGTAAAAACCACCAGCAAATGACGAGTGAAATCTTTGATTTTCTAATAGCATACCACATTTCATGTGAAAACAAAGCAGCAGGTGGTTAGAAGTTAGCTTATATGGCTACTCCATGACATGAA